TGTGAGGAAAGGGAAGGGCACTAGGGAAGATGGAGGAATCTAGAAAAGAGGCGTCTGATATTGAAGGATGCTGTAGCAGAGCCCAGAGGCAACTTGACTGGATTTAGAGATCGAGTCCTACTGTGGGCACCAGAGTGTAAGTGCTTTGATGTGTCCCTATTCCCCTTCCTCCCAGCTGGGAAGAGACACCCAGCCTTGCCCAGGCTAGAAGTACAGGTTTTAGCTGTGCTGTGCTCCTCGGCAGGGCCACAGGCTCGGTGCTGGCAGAAACTCTCCAAAGCCAACCCCTTCAAGAGGCAACAATTATTTTATTACTGCCCTTTAATCCCAGGACAGATTCATGGCAGCCTGGTCACTTTATGTGCCTATGGGCCTCCCCAGAAGTTGATCTCTGGCTCAGCACATCATCCCTTTTTTGGTAGAAGAGCATTGTCATACTTGTGACCCCATTCGCTCAATGAAGCTTTATAGAAAACAGCCCCTTCAGAAGACAAAGCTTCAAACAAAACCATATTTATTAGAACAAACAGTTTGGTTAGACCAGATGGCCCCCAGCATGGAGACCTGACTGCACTGCTTTTGGGGTAGTAGGCCCACAAGGTTTAGTCCTGCCTCATAATCAACAGTACAGGATTCACCTTCTGCCTGCCTGTCAGCCCAGGCACATCTCACACTCACAAGTACTTGCCCTTCGTTCCTCTTGAGCAACCAAGTGTGCTTTCTCCATTTGCTATTCTCCCACTTTTACCTCCCCTGGAGCAAATCGGCTGCGGGTCATTTGGCAAGTCCCTGTGATTTGTCTTCTTGCTGGAGCCTGGTACTTCAGTGCTCTCTGTCTCGAGCTCCAGACTGGCTGGGAAGTGTTTGACAGAATCCATTACAAAGGGCTAACACAGCAACTCTGATAAACTAGCAAGATCAGTTTAAAAGGAAACAGATAATGTTTCATCTGAAACTGGTGCATGGAAGCCAGCTCTCACGAGGTGGGGGTGAGAAACAATGAGGTTACAAAGTTTTCTGAGGAAAATTCATTTCTAGAAATTGCTAGATTGTCACCTTTCCCCACAAGTCCATATGACTCAGAAAAGGTTTTTTTCTTTGTATCTTTCAGTGAGGGAATCCGGCATTTCTTTTCAAATATGCATGGAAGCGATGGCATCTTTTCCCTCAAGAGCATCCAGGGTGGTGTAACTGGCATTAGGAGCTGGATTATTTGCAGGCAAAGCTTCATCATGCTGTTTCCAGGAACTGTAATGCTGGTAAGCAGTAGAAGTGGGGAACAGGTTTTTCTGCCTTCTGTTCTTAGTTCTGCCACAGCATCCCCTTGGCCAAGTCACCTCCCTGTGGGTTTCTTCTATGTGCTAAATTAGGATAACAATTTACCTTTTGACTGTCATTTGTTGTTAGGGTCAGAAGAGGACTTGCCCTGAGGCAAATGCTTCTGGAGGAAGGGCTAGTGGTGAGATGGGATCTTAACTCTGTCTCTGCATCTCACAGGCATGTGACAGTGGGTGACATCCCCCATGATGGGGTTGTTCCCATGCACAGCAGATAGCAGTGCTTAACAGCACCTTCTGCTGGCCCACAAACCAATCTCACTGGTAGGACAGCATTTTGGGCAAAGGGAGAAGCATTATTAACAACTGCTAACCAGAGATCAGAAATGGTAGGAACTTACTCCAAGCAGCCTGCAGTCAGTGCCAGCATACGATGAGCCTTTTTCTGAAGCCTCATGGAGCAGAGCAGCTCCAGCTCTGACCAGCCTTTCAGTACTTTGTTTTCCCTTTAATACATTTAAACCCAACATCTGCAAGTCAGGATTTACTGTGTTGACCTATACTTCTGGGATAGGTTCAAGACATATTGAAACAATACTAGGAACAAAACTCAGTAACCTCCAACTGGCTTCCAGGTAGTCTTACGTACATTTGCAAGACAGATTATATTACTGCATAGCTGCAGCCTGTGTCCCCATTACCGTAAACGGAAAGCCAGGCATATTGGCGTTCCACAATGAGATGCATCACTGGATGCAGAGATCCAGATCCAAATACCCCTAGAGTCTGGAGCTGTTTGGACACACAGGCTGAGGGTCCAAGCCCATATCTACGTACTGGTGGCCAGAAGTTTTACCTCTTCTCTCTGAATCATCCAGCATTGGCCAGAGGTTTGTGCAAGCGGTGGCCTATTCTATCCAACATTATGTTCCCAAGCAGAATTCAGCTAACTAGGAGAGGCACAGATAGTGCCTACAATTTCTCAGGGTGAAGAAACAGCATGTTACTGGAGAGTCCCAAACCTTTGCTTCCCCAGTCTCTGCAGGTCTGGCACATGGAAAGCCCAGAGGCACTGAAGTATCCCACTCAAGCAGCCAAGTGTTAACAACCTCTCCAAAGTCTAATTTGCCTTTGATATAGACTTAATTGTTTGCGTCACCCACTGGGCTAGGGGGAGGGCTATAAAAGGGGCCGCAGCCATTGTCTGAGGCAGAAGAGAGCCCAGAAACAGCTCCCTCTCCCAGTCTTCCTAATTCAGCACAGTAGTGACAGCCTGTACATCATGCAGCTGGTGGCCAGCCTGGTGTCCGTTCTGCTGCTGGTGTGGAGCGTGAGAGCCACTGCACTGCCCGGAGAAGAGAGACTCGCAATACAGAACACTAGGGTGAGTATAATGCACCCTGTGCAGGAGCTGGGTAAGGTGGGAGCACGCAGAAGCAGGCTGGAGCCAAGGGAGGGGTAATAAGGGCAACTAGGCTTTTCCTGATGCAAACAACTCTTCCACCCCTCTATATTCCAAGGCACTACAGCTTCATGCATTGCTGAAGCACAGGCTATTACTACAGCTTACTAGCTAGTTTATTTAGGAAAGGCACCAGGGCAGATGCCAGAGAGCTGCAAAAGTGAAGTCTGAGCTAAGCAAAAACTGGCAAAAAGAGCAGAAAGGAGAGGGAAAAGGAGAAAATAATACTGCTGAAAGAGTGCAGTACGAGAGAATAAAGCAGAGTACTAGGGAGGGAGAGAAAAGATACATAATTGGTAAAATGATCAAGGGAGATGATATTTTAAATAGGACTCATGGGAAGGACAAATGTTTAAAAGATGGGTTCGGTAGGAAAGTAACAGAGGAATAATAAATGAAGTAATTATATCAGAATAAAATTGCTTTTTCCAGAGTAGTATTCACAAGGGGAGTTATACTGACATAGTTCTGCTAGAATAATTACACTCTGAACCAGCACAGCTCTATGCAGTGGCAGAACTTATTATAGCAATACAATTATCCTACCAACTGGCAAAACTCTAATATTATAATGGCTATAGCACTATAATAACTTTGTTTTGCTGGACTATTTCCCCAAGAGGCCAAAGGGGTAGAAAGCAACAGCATAACATAATCATAAGCAAGTGCTCTGTTCTGCTTGCCCTTGCCCCGCAGTTTTCTCACCTGCATGTTCCTTGCTGTCCCTGAGGTTCCTCTGAGCTGTGGTTGGTCACCCCGCACTCTGCCAGACCGGTTCACAGCTGTATCCGTAAGGTTGCTGTTATTTCAGTCCTGCAGAGGAGCTACCCAGAGAAGTGAAGGATCCCAGTGTTGGTTTCAAAGGCACTAACTTCTCCTTTGTGCGTATCCACATCGTTTTTTCTGTCTTAGTGTTGGCTCCAGCTCATCCATCAGTGTCTTACTGCTTCAGGAGTGGGCTCACATCCCATTAACAACAAAACTGGCTGTGAGAAAGAAACGTATACAATGTGAGGTGCTAGGGCTAGCATTCTGTTAGAGATCGGGGCTTCTGCAGCTGGCTGGGATTAACCCTTCTGGGGATAACTGTAAACTTTCAGCTGTACAGTCTTACAATAACGAATCCAGTACTTAAAAAGTAAACTCTTTCTGGTGCAAATCCTAGCTGCTGGGGAAAAAAGAAACAAGTTGTAAGGAATAAATCAGTAAATAAGGCTTTGGTAAAAATGCATTCAAGTGTAATGACTCTTAGTCTTCTACACGCTGTTGCTTACAAAATAATGATATAATTATAATAGATATAATGATTCTCTTTAGAGCATTCTACAAACTGAAAAATTGTTAGATACTGATGAACCAATCCCTAAAGTCACCACTGCTGTAACTCAGACAAATGTTTTAAGTATGAAGAATATCGGGATTTTACATATAAACCACCATAAAATGCATAACAATGCAAAAGATCGATCTGCGCATTCTGACGCACTGGTAGATGTAGTACAGGGAATTGAGCAGCTACCCAAAGGTGTGCCACAAGCCACCCGTGCTAAGATCTATAGCTGCTGCCAGTCTTGATCTCTCACAGCAGAAAGGATGTTAGCAATGGATTAGTGCGGTGGAAGAGCTGCCTAGTTTCACTAACAGCCACAGCTGATCACGCGTAAGGAATATCCCCTAACAGCCGGCTGAGCTTTGCCTTCCCCACCCCTGAGTCTGAAGCTGCTGGCTCTGCTTGGAACAGGTTATTTCAAAACATAGCACTTACAGCTAGGAAAGAAGCTCATGAGGAAGTCATGACCCAGGAGACACATTTAGCTGGGTTCCCCAGTCCCTGTCCATCTCCCAAAGGCTCAAGACATTTCTGTACTTGCAGAACAGGAGTAGGAATCGGGATGGGCACAAGCTGGCTTTTATCTTTTCTTCTGCTACAAACATAGCATGTAATTTTTCTGTGCCTCAGTTTCTCTTGTGTGGAAGCAGGGTTAGTTAATAGAGCTAAAAAAGTGATTTAAAAATATCCATAAACATTCTGTAACGTAAACTCAAAATAATTGCTGCTGCCTGTGTGTTTATCTATCTTTTGCGTTGCTCACCAAGTGGTCCTCAGCGAGTGCTGGTGCTGACAGCCAGCGGATAGATATAGCAGTCCCAGCAGTAAACATGGCATTTGTGAGAAGTGACGTGGAAATGTGCTTCCAAGATTCCCATCTGCATGGGAAACAGGATCTGTTCCTGTCAAACCATCTATCCCAGCTTGTCCAGTACCAGCTGTCTCTGCTAATGAGTCACACAGACCAGGAATACTCAGGCAAGAGGTAATTCCTCAGATTTGCTGGATGTAAAGTTAAAAGAAACAAGATAACTCACAGCTTGTTACTGACAGAAATCCCTCAAGCCCCAAACCACGGGCTATGCTCTCCTGTATACTGCTATGGCAAAGGGATGGAGCTCCACAAGTCCTCTTTCATTCTGCCTTTCCCCAAGGTCAGGCTATTGAAATACGGGTTCTTGTTCTTGAAATACAAGCTGCCTGTCTCCACTGATTAAATGTTTTGCTCCAGATACTTAGGGCGTCTCTCTCCCCACCAACCCAGCCCTCTGTTACATTTAATTTTCAGCATTTTTACAGTGGGTTGCAGCCCCCGGTGCGCTTAATTAAATATTGCTCAGGACTCCGTGCCTCCTCCCTGACCTTCCCACAGCGGATGCTGGGCAGTCAGAGCAGTGAAGGGAGCATGGGCTTACTAGGAGAGAAGGCAGTTTGGCATTCAGTGAAATTTAATTAGTGCAGGCAGCAAGGGACTTTACAGCCAATTCATGCCTATTTATTAGCAGCTCTTTTCCAGTTATAACATGGCACGTGTGCCTCTCCCTGTCCAGCCTGCTGAGCTGGACAGGGCACAGGAGAAAGGAGCAGTGCCCTCTGCAGCCACAGATTCCTCAGCTCCAGCACAGCTCTGCCGATAGGAAAAGCATCGGCTCAGAGGACAGGGCACCAGGGGAGGCAGGGAAATGAGAAGGGACCCCACGGGGGATGTTCGCACCCTGCAACAACCCCCTGCCTCGACGGCCGTGGGGAACAGGGCCTCCCTTCGCCACTTTCCCCTGCTCTCTGCCCACAGGAACAGAGCACAGTCCGGAAAGACGCCATCCTGAAGATGCTGGCGGGCCTGCTGGACAGCGTGGACGTGGGGCGTGAGGTGGCCTCCCCGGACGTGGAAGAGGCGGGCAAGCTGGAGGAGGAGCGGGCAGTG